CACCCCGGAGCTCCACAAAGCTCTTACGATGCTGTTTCCCCACTGTCTCCTTGCAGGAAAGGGGGCATAGGTACACTGGTGAAAAGGCTTCCTACCCAGACCCCAGCTGCGGCACAGGAGAAAAACCGGACGCTCTGCATGGTTGACCCACATGGGAAGGTCCCAGGTTTACATTCAGAGCCCTCTTTATGTATTCAGTATGCTGGCCCATGCACCCCCATGACCTAGGCTGGCTGAGGCTAAGAGTGGACTGCAGCAATGAGGCCAGTAGGGGGTGCTGTCTCTCTCTCTGTCTCTCTCTCTCTAAAAATAAATAAATAAAAATTTCTGTTTAATTGAAGAAATAAAAAGCGTCCTGCCCACAGAAATCAAAATTAACAAGAGATGGGAACTGGATCACTGAAGATATTGTCACTCATACTGCTTCATTGTGTTTTTAAGACTGAACAGCACAGACTGGCTAGCATTAAATAGAAACAGAAGAACCATGGCCCAGGCAGAGTGGCACGGCAGAAGAGCAATGCTCTGCAATACTGGGAAGTCTGGATTGACAGGCACACGCAAGTGCATGCATTGGTCCGTGATCAGGCTGGACAGGAGAGGCTGAGGGGAGGATGGTGACGTGAAATCCTCTTGAGGGTACTTGTCTTCCCCCAGTCCATGAAAGAAAGAAGGAAATTGTAGAAGGAAGAATGGGCCGGCCCCACAGCACAGTGGTTAAGTCAGTGCATTGAGAACCAGAGACCACATGGTGAACCACAGAATGCCAGCCCCACGGACTTGAAAAACATACCAGGCACTTCCAAAGGAATGAGAAATGGAAGAAAAAGGATTGCAGCATGACATGCCCCATGGGTGTGTGTGTGTGTGTGTGTGTGCGTGTGTGTGCTTTCTCTCACTCTTTCTTTCTCTCACTCTCTCTGTCTCTTTCAAGTGTACACATCCTCTGGCAATTAAAAATAAAAATAAATAGCTAGGGGACCAGCAAATGGTGTAATGGTTATGTTGTGGTCTCCCACATAATCAACTGCAGTTCAAGTTCTGGACTCAGTGGCCTAAAATTCATGCTGGGTGCATGTGCATGCACACCCAAAACCCTGAGAAGAGAATTGAGGAGAAAGGATTGTGGTGTGGCCATCACCCCTGGGGATGATTTCTTGCTTTCTATCTCTCTGTCTCTGTGTGTCTCCAATGAGTAGATGTACCCTAGAGCAAAAATCTCTCTAAAAATAAATAAATAAATAAATAAATAAATAATAGTTAGCCAATAATAAATGGATAAATAGATAAAAGAAGAAAGAAAAAAGAAAGATAGACAGAGATAGATAGATGATAGAGATAATAGATGATATAGATAGACAGATAGATAGAGATAGATACAGACAGATAATATATAGATAGAAATAGATAGATAGATATAGATAAATAGGTAGATATAGATATAGATAATAGAGGATATAGATAGATGATTGATAGATATAGACATTGATAGATAGACATAGATAGATAGAGATAGATACATATAAATATATAGATAGATAGATATAGATAGATGGTTGATAGATAGATAGAGATAGATAGATAAAGAAAGAGAATAATTTTCTGAGTGGCAAGAGCTAGGAACATAAATCCAGCTGGGAGAACACTGTGGAAGGGAATGAAAGACTAGAAACTACCTCTGCTGATCTTAAGCTCTCCTCCTGGTCCCTCTTCACCCCATTTCCTGGAGATCCGGCTGCTGTTCCAGCCAGGTCTCATGAACATCTCGTGACCAGGCCTGTACCTCCTGGCATCAGCTCGTTGCCGGGCCATTCTGGGGGCACACACTCCCCTCTCACATCCACACCCCAGATCAGAGGCACTAAATCAAGGCATGAACTCTGGCTACCCTGCAGACCATAACCTGATCCTTGTCGCCCTCAAACAAGGTACACAGAACCCAGATCCTGCCTTGGAGACAGGGCTGTGGGCGAATCTGGTGGTGAGGCCTGTGCTCTCTGACCTGCCACGTGGATACCGAGGGCCTGGGCTCGAGGAGGCACCAACCATTCTGCGCCCTGCCAGCAGAGGGGCTCACTCTGTAAGTAAACGCATAGCTTCCCCTGCTGGTCCTCAGGCGTGCTCTTTGGAACTGGTAAACATTATGAGCAAGCCTTCTCGGATGTGGGGCTCCCCTCCTTACAATCTCCTACTCTACCTCATTTAGTCCTTGCAAAAAAATTCCTATGAATCTCTATTTTATTATACAGGGAAAACAGCCTCCAAGATTTTAAGCTTTGCAATATTGAAGAGTAAGAGGTAGAAGCAGGATTTGAACCAGGCCTATTTCACCTTGAAACCCATTCCCTAACACCACACACTTTCATGTTCCTGAATTTAATAGACAACTGCCTAAGAAGGGCATGAGAGAGGCTTTTTCATAGTCCCCTGTAAGACTGCGCTGGTTTAGGCAAAATTAGTACTTGATAGCGATGAGCTTCCTCCCTCAACTTCGACTTCATACTGTGTGTAAGAGGAAGCTTTGGGGCGGAGTGGGTTGGGAGAAACAGGTAGGTGTCTACTCCTCCTCCTTGGTCCCAGCTG